CCCGCCACATCCAGGACGCCCAGGTCCCCGGCTTCTGCGGGGCCCTGGGAGGAGCCGAGGAGCCCCCGTTTGTGCTGCTGGACACGGACGCGGCGGGGGACCAGCTGTTCGCCACATACGTGCTGGACCCCACCCGGGGCTCCCTCCGCTCGGCTGGGACCCCGGTGCATTTCCCTAGAGGGGGAGGAGGACCCGGGCCTGACCCCTCGTGTTGGTTCGAGCCAGACATCATCTGCAACGGAGGTGAGGGCGAGCACCCCAGCCCCCACTGGGACAGTCACCGTGGAGCCTCCACTAAGTGGTGAAAGAGAGTGAACTCTCGTCCTGGAACTCCTTCCAGGTCCTTCCTCAGACCCCTGGCTTGTGCAGAACCTGTCTCTTGCCAAGCCCCCAAAGCCCTCTTGGAACCTTCCAGACGCTCCCTTTTGCAGAACCCACGACCTTTCCCTAGATCTCGTTCTGGGCTCCCATCCGCCTTTCCTAGGGCCTCCAGGATTTGACATGACTCCATCCCCCCATAGAGAGGGTGCCTCCCCCTGGCCACGGTCCTCAGAGTCCCCCCTCTCACTGCCTCTCCAGGAGTGGAGCCCGGCCTCGTCTTTATCGGCTTCCTCCTGGTGGTTGGGATGGGGCTGACAGGGGCCTTCCTGGCCCATTATGTGAGGTGAGTATGGGAGTGGGGTAGGTAAGGGATGAGCCTGCCTGTCCACCTGCCAGAAATGCGTCTGTGCAGCAAAGACAGCAGGCTGGGCCCACTCAAGAGTAGGAAAAAAAAAAAAAAAAAAAAAAAAAAAGGAAGATGGGGAACATGGGGTTGCCCTCAAGGGGGTGGCAGACCAGGGGCTGTCTGGTTTGGGGATGACTGCTCTCCCCTGAGCCAACATTATCCCTTGCTGGCCTCCTGTCCTGGACCTTGGTCCCTTTTGAGCAGATGACGTCCTTTCCCTACCAGGCATCGTCTAATTGACATCCAGATGGTCTCTGGCCCCAACAAGATCATCCTGACTCTGGACGATATCACCTTCCTCCACCCGCAAGGGGGCAGCTCTCGAAAGGTGGGAGAGGCAGGGAGGCAGGGGCTATCTGGCAGGGAGCCAGATATCTGTTCCCCTGCCTGGGCCAGCCCTCACCCCAGCCCCGAGGAAAGCCTGGTTTCTGCCCTGGCTCCCTCTCAGGTCTGAGCTCTGGGGATCAGCACCCTTAATGTGCAGTGAGAGTACCAGCCCTGTCCCGGCTGCTCTCCTGGGACAGCGAGAAGCTCCAAACAAACCCGCTGGTTTGTTTTGTAAACTGTAAACCGCAGCGTAATTGGGAAGTATAATGTCAGTATCGTCTTCCCCTAATTAAGATTTTTTCCCTCTGTAATCCCCGGAACTCAGCCTGACCTCAACCCAGGACTCTGACCCCACAGTATATTCTGATCCCTTGCGTTGACCTCTACCCTCCAGGTGGTCCAGGGGAGCCGATCGAGTCTGGGTGCACACAGCGTGTCAGATGTTCGCAGCGTCCCCAGCCAGCCCGCGGACAGCGCCAACGTTGGCCTCTATGAGGTGAGCCTTACCCCGTCCAGGCCGAGCTCTATTCCTGGAGTCGCGTCATATCCCACGGGCTCCAGAAAATGGTGATAGGAGCCCAGAATGGGCTCTAGGAAGAGGTCACGGGTTCCCCAAAGGGGAGCGTCCGAGAATCCTTCCTGCCCCAGGGTTTTTCCCTTAGCCTTTATCCAGATGAGGGCTCCTCAAAGGCCAATCACGGTGGCTCCGAGGCCGGAGGCCTGCCTGGTGGGGGGTGTTCCGGCACCAGCATGCAGCCCAGTGTGGCCACCGAAGCCATCCCCCTCCCCGTTGGGAGCCCCTGGCCCTGCCCCCTCCGTTGATCCAAGACTTCAGGCTACTGAAGGGCGTGGGCCTCCCTGGAAAGGTTGGGGCATCTGGGATGCGGCATCGTGGTCACAAAAAGGACATTTCCAGGACACGGGTTGTTCAGGATGGGGAGGTCCCAGACGGGGCTATCCTGACTCAGGACAGACAGACCCGCGTCCTGGTCCTACCCAGCGTTTCCACCCCATTCAGATCCGACTCAGGAACCGTGAGCTTACAGGGGATGGAAAGAGAAAGTCACGGAAGGGCATTAGGACCTTCACTATGGGTCAGCAAATCTGAATGCTGTAGGATGTTTGGGAATCACGA